GCTTGACCTCAAGCCTTCTTCCGCTCACAGATGGTGTCATGACTTCGAGACTGATCATTACTTGGAGCAGGATTGCCAGAGTTGGCACCAATAGAGGCAGCTTACCGCTCCATCGCTAAGGCCATTAGGATAGGGAACTCCTCCAAGTCATCAGCAGGGTTCGTTCAAAGAGTAGAGCGCTGCCAGGAGCCTGCCGACCTGACGTTGCTGCTTATTCGCAAGCACTTCAGGTCATCCAGGGAGTAGCTCAAGTCTTACATGGAGGGAGTGAGCTTGGAGGAGATAAAGCGACTAAGAAAGCCTTTCTTAGAAAGCCTTTCCTCTCTTAGAAAGGAGCGTCGAAAGCATCGAGGGCCAGCGCCAATGTTGCCTGCTCCTACAGGGCAGTCCAACGTTGGCAAGTTTAACCGGAGACGTGTAGTCTAATTTTCCAAGTTTTGTGTGTGTTTCTAATGAATTGCTCTCCATTTCGATATTGGGTATTGAGAACAGGTCGTCAAGGGGTAGAGATTGTCTAAAACTGGCATGGACTCTTCGGCACTGAGGGTAAAAATGACCAAAATATTTTTTTGTCGAGTTTCAAATGCGCGACTTGGATTTATGGGTAATCGAGCATGGGGAGTTCAATGGTGAAAGAATTAGGTCGAAATTCGTCAAAATGAAAGAAAAAAGTGCCCGCCCAGTTCGCGCGTTTCTAGATGGCGCGTACTGTAGGCTCTTTGGGGCCGGCGAGAAGAGTATAATTTCTGTATAGGGCACTGAAACCGACTGAGTACGTCTTGCAAACTGCCACTGAGAAATGTAAAGAGGTAAGCTTGTGAGCTGTCCTAATACACAATCATTGGAGTTTCACCACCCTAGTGATATGAAAAACACTAGTTAAAAACATATTTGACGACAACTGTATGTCACCGCGAATATCGCGTTGTCCTTATACACAATCGTTGGAGTTTCATCTGTTTTACGCGAAGTGGCGTAAAACTCGGTGAAAAACGCGATATTCGTCGTATGTAGTAGTCGCGAAATATGTTTTTCATATCACTAGGGTGGTGAAACTCCAATGATTGTGTATTAGGACAGCTCACAAGCTTACCTCTTTACATTTCTCAGTGGCAGTTTGCAAGACGTACTCAGTCGGTTTCAGTGCCCTAT